TGACACTTGAGAATAAACGCTATGACGTGTTTCCTTCTGTCCCCTCCCCCCTTGATGTTATCCAAGCATGACCCTACCCACCACGGGCAGGATGAACAGTGAGTCAGCTTTATTGTGACTGTCATCATTTTACAAGTCGTGCATACAAACATTGAACTTGTTGAGGGAATTAGACAAGCAGGCTGTTAATCGATTGGATGAATCACGGTTATTAAGTGATACAACGTCAAAAAAAGAAAAAAAAAGAAAAAAGAAAAAACTAACTCATGGCTTACTTACGGCTAACTCACGGCTAACTCATGGCTCACAGATAGAACCCTGAAACAACCTCTGGGCTGATCTAAGTCAGGGCACGGCTAACTCACAGCTAGAACCCTGAAACAACCTCTGGGCTGATCTAAGTCGCGAACGGCTAAGCTTGATTCAAGCTTTGCATCTACTTTTTCTTTCTACTCATTATTCCAAACTACAGTATTAGGTCTGACTTACCTTCAGCTATGGTTTGTGGGTTTTGATGTTCTGTTTTACTTTTCTCGTCTTTGAAGCCGATGTACTTCGTATTATGAAGTGGAATAAATACCATGGATACCAAGACTGCGAACCAGCACAGTTCTGCACATGATGTGTGCATGTTAAATTATGATAATATCTACAAAAAAAACACATTGATTTTCAGTTACTTGTGTAGCTGCAATATAGCTGAATTGATATTGGAAAATACGTGTCACATGAAAGGCTGGGAAGGTGAATTTTCTTCAAATTTTAAGAGGTCGCCATATATTTATTGTTGAAATTCCTTCAACGTTGCCGTTGTTGTTGCTATAAATGATACCGGCTGCAATTTTTGTTTGCGCTGGCAATGCAACACAAAATCTAAATCTACCATTGTATTGCAAGCGCGGGAAAAATCMCCATGTGACTTTGAACTGGAGGTTATTTTTTTAGGAAGACTTCGGTATCGTTAATGTCATACCCTAGCGATCCTTCGTGGATAGATAGATAACTTCATACCATGCTAATTCCTCCCAAGAACAAAATCAGGAAGACTTTAATGTTTAGTGACATGCATAACGAGAGGTTGACGAAAAAGCTGACTTTATGCATTGTGTGTGACGTCATTAGTCTATCCATAAATCATGCGCGCGCAATCTATTTTTTCAATTGACATTTTTATGCGCGCGATAAATTCGTAAGAAAATTTGTAAAAAATTTATTTGTTCATAAGGCTATTTGCTAAGCAATCAAATGGACATGGGCTAATAGAAAATAACGTTGCGCCCGTTCGGAAAATCACGAACGTTTATCGATTCTGGTTCAAATGCTGACTCTGAAAAATACCACATTTTTATTTTTTTGATGTATGGGAATGGATTCCGGTAATAACAAAACTACAACACTACGAACAATATTAACAAAACTGCAGTATTGACACAGTTACGAATTTTGTGTGATTTTTTTTTCGAGCATTGAAAATTTTGTTTTACAAGACAAAAACAAAGCAAACTTATTGAAAAAATCTTTACTTTGTATTTTATGAAACCCGGCTTTTTATCGTTGTGTTCGCATACTACGCAAAAGCTGTCTCTTCATTGCAAATCGTAAGAAATCAAATCAAGTATGGTCTTTCTAGTTTTTCCTCTCCATCGAACAGGTGAATATATCTTGTTTACACCTTGAAACCATAACAACGACAGGTCTGACCTAGTTGCCTAGCAACCAATGGCCGCCTGGTCTTCGAACACGACTGACGTTTTTAGTTAGACATTTTTTCAAAAATTCCTAACCGAAACAGTTGAAAAAAATAAAATCAATTGTTTTTCTAACTGCCAAGACCCGTTTTGCTCGGCACAAAGTAACCAAGCTGCAAACGGTTTAGTAACTTTAAAAGCGACGGACGTATGTATTGCAACAGGTACTCTTCCTTGTGTATACTCTCTTTCTTACATCCCACTCGTTTCATTCAACATTTTAATTTTGTGATTATCTATTCACCAATGGTAATGCAATGACAGTTAATAAGATTAAGCATGTGTGAAAAAGTCAAATTTCTTACTTTTTGTAGGCTTCGATGAATGGCCGGCGGGCGGGCAGGAACCAAGACGATAAGAGGATCAACCTTTTCTTTATTCCTTCGTTTCTTTGACTCGATCTTGTATAAGGTCATAGTTATTATTATTATAGCACTAATAAAAACAATACAGTCTATTGGTTAGATGAGCATAATTTAAGAGTATCTATTTTTGCTGGTGATACAGATTGCAAGGTTTTGCACATTGTATTAGCCCAGTTGTCTCGCTTTAATAGATACCTTAGGCCCCGTCCACACGTATCCGGAAATTTTTGTATCCGCAAAACATTTTTTGCGGATACGAAAATGTTCGCGTCCACACGCAGCGTATTCGAATCGCTTTCACCGTCCACACGTGTCCGTTTTCGTAGAATTTGCGGATACGGCCACAAAAATTTGAGGACACGTGTGGACTCAACCCGTATCCGTAAAAAAAGTTTGCGGATATATACGTGTGGACGGGGCATTAAGCAGCGCGATGAAAAATGTACCATTTAGCACCCTAGATACCACGCGTTGGTTATAAATATCTTTATTAAGTTTCAAAACTATCATGAAGTAAAATAATAATTTATCAAACTATACAATATACATTCTAATAACGAAGTCTATTTATCATTTGTCCCAAATACTGATACACTTTGGAATAAAACTGTTTTTAAACCAATCAGAATTGAGGATTCAAAATTGTATTTTGTTAAGCATTTTCCATGATTCTGCCAAGACAACCCATGAAATACGAATTCTTCATACTTTGAATTCGTCGTAAACCGGCTAGTCGACCTCAAGTATCGTACTCAGTCCCTGCTCGGAAAATCCTAACCAAAAATAGTTTAGACTCTTCCACAGTTTCTCGCTCGTCCGTTCCGTCTCCACGCTTAGAGACTATAACGGTACAATGACCGAAAGGACTTATGGGTCCCGAAAACTTGGACCCAGCGTGCTTTGGGAACCAAAATACTCGTCCACAGTCTCTCGTTTTCGCCGCCATCTTGAAAATATTGAAACGAGAGAGACTGTGGACGAGTATTTTGGTTCCCAAAGCACGCTGGGTCCAAGTTTTCGGGACCCATAAGTCCTTTCGGTCATTGTACCGTTACCGTCTCTAAGCGTGGAGACGGAACGGACGAGCGAGAGACTGTGGAAGAGTCTAAAAATAGTTGACCGATAATTCCTTTCGGGGAATGCTGTCAACTCAGCTGGTAACACGGTGAACATCAAAGACTTCCGACCACGAAAAGTTTGTCTTTTAATAAGTAAGTCTTTTATTTTATTCAAAATCCCTAGATTCAGTGGTTTGGGTGAGTTTAGCTTGAGTGTTAGGTTGAGCGAAGCAAAATAAACCCCGTTCAAGACGAAAAGCTAACCAGGTAGGTTCAAATCAGTCGAGACAGTCGAGTCGAAGATTAAATGAGATTTTTTATTTCAAGGAGAATTTTTTCTCGTAGTCTTAGGATTTAAAATTACGCCAAATGAGAACGAATTGATCGAATTAGAGAGACCAGCACCGGCGATGCAAATGTCCCAATAGAATACAGCTGCGTTTGGGACAAGCAATTAACCTATGCATATATGCTTGTCTTCTCAGTTCTTTCCGTTCAGTGTTCAGCGTTCAAAACTATTACTTCGTACGCTATTTTTTGTATCGCGTATATAAACCCCTTGCATGTGACGTCAAAGAAGTTCAATTTAGAGGACAAAACAAAAACATCTTATATTATAACCTATTGTTTTGGCCTCCAAATTGAGCCGCTAGAAAGAGTTCTCCGTCACGATATCTCAAAAAATTGATGCCTGACTATGGCCGAAAATGTATTGGACCGCGATTTAAAACTGATTATTAGGGGAGTTCGTTTAATTGGACGACCACTGTAAGAGCCTCGATAAACATGACCTGGACCATCTACATTAGAGCTTTTATTGACATCACTCTTACGGAAAACGACTTCCTGGTCCAAAASAAAAGCAGTTCTAAAAACATTTTCTTAATGAGAGGATTTTGTTGTCCAAAGCTCACTACATTGTTTCAGGTAGAAGTTGATTCAATGAGGAGCTTTTCTGCTTCATCTTAGAGGGTTTTTGTGAGCATTTTCCAAACATTTGGACCAGAGAATAGGTCAGCAATTAAAAGCTTTACAGCGAGAAAGTGCGTTCTTCATTATTATTTAGTTCACTTATGTTCATTCAGGTTGTTTCACGCACTTTAATACAAACTCAAGTAGAAGTATATTTATTGAAGTTATATAGTTAATGTAAAATATGCGGTCGGTATTTTCACACCAATACGAACTAAAGATAATTCATATGTATCTAAATTTCATTTCTTTTTAAAATAACCTGAGTTTATCGTTAATCATCACTGTAAAAACATAGTTGGCGCAGCTCAACGATTTCAAAATGTGCAATCAAGTATACTGAGAATGGTCATAGTAAGGTGACTCTTGTTCGTTCAAATATTTATATATTTCTCTTAATTTATCTACTAGTCCTTTATGACAAAATTTACCTGCCTTGGGAGTTCCCACATACATATATTGTTGTCTATTTTTCACGCAGTTTGGCTGATTACAATTAAGAGGAAATTTTTTCAATAACAAGCAATAATGGCAAAAAGCGCCAAAAACTAGAC